TCGCTGCTTGTTTTCAGGGTTACCAAGAGCCAAGACCACTAAATCGATCAGTTTCACCATAGTTGTGGTAATCTATATAAGAAAGGCTCATTAGTACATAGGGGTCACAAGTTCTCCAAACGAAGCTGGTTACATACATTGCAAGAGAAAATTCACTCAATTGCCACCAGTCGATGTGCAGATCACTGGAGGAAGCTTCTGTTCTTATTCTAATCTTACACAACGGTTAATTAAACCTGGCTTTAATAGGTGGGTTCATGACTGAGATTTAGAGCCCTTTAAAAGGTGTTTCCCATCAGAAAAATACATTTTTTGGGTTGTTCAGAAAACAATCGATCAGAATAAGTGAAAAGAGTTATATGATGTTGCTCACAAAGACCTTAAAAATGACTCTAAAGTTCAATTGTGAACCTACCTACAGCCATTGGGCACCTTGTGCACAGTTGCTGTAAAAATTACTTTAGAATAATGCAGTATCCTGCATGGCAACCAGCAGTGGATCAATGTGCTTATTTAAACAAAATCCTCTTCCCAACCAGTCATGTCAGTTTTCTCACAATCACATGATTGCTCTTTTTTGATGTACTTTGATCGAGGATTCATGTCATCGATATTCTTAGTATTACAGGGAAAGGATATTAGGGGGTTTCACAATTGTGTTTATTGCTTCTTGTGTAGCTTATAAATCTTGCTTGGCTTAAATTTTTAGCATGAAATTAAGTGGAAGTTCAGATCAACAACACCAGTTGGCAATACTTACTACAGGTTTCTGAATCCTTTGTAGACCACCCAAGCATTCTCTTGGTAATCTGTGTAGTGCTTTCTCACACCTCCATGATGTGAGGTGTAAACAATTTTGACTTAACAAGTTTGGATGTTTCTTGCCAGTGCTAAAAATATTTCTCACAAGAAACCATTGTGAGCCCCCCCCCCATCTATTGGTTTTTTTAATAGGGAAAGAACCATTTGGTCTTGCAGGTGAAATATGTGATTTGAGATCCACACCTGGAATGGCAATGTCTGTTTCTTGGATGTCAAGATTTTGGGGATGGCAGCCAGGTCCAAACACAAACTTTTCTCTTTGCAGGTTCTTCCAAAAACAAGGCCAATTTTCTTTCAATCTGATCATGACTCCAAAACCAAAGAAGGAAGCATCACCCACCAAGGTTGGTTGAACTGTTCTTTGGTTTGAAATCAATTTGATTGCAAAGTTGGATCAAGTGGCTGATTGCAGTTACAGACAAGAGCTCCAGACCATCAACACAATTTTTCAACAAACAGGCTACATCTGCATAAGACACCAGATTTTGTTTCTTTCTCATAGACATATGAAGGGACAGATGACAAACCTAAATTATGATAAGGATAGAACAATTCCAATGATGTCTTAAATGTATTGCAAAAAAACATGGCACAGATAATTATGGAAAAGTATTGAAAAAGGGGGGGTTAATGTAAGGCTATCAAAAGATGGGATATATGTGTATATGTGTGTGTATGTAGTAGTGCATATGTGGAGCTATAAAAGACAGCAAAAAGATTTGGAAAGATTTCACACAAAGACCATTTCTCCTGTTTTTTTCCTTTTCTTTTTTTTTGTCTCAACAAAAAAGAACGCCCAAGTGAGTGGGACTGGGTTGTGAGGGAGGGGAGTGAAAAACAAATACATGCATTGATAATTTCATAAGACAGTCAAGGGAAATCAAAAACTTTCTTTCAAAGATGAACTAGAGGGAAAAAGACAATGAGGTGATGAAAATGATGATGGTGATGATGGTGATGATTATGATGATGAAGTTGGGAGAAGAGAGAGAGAGAGAGAGAGAGAGAGAGAGGAGCTGGGATTGCTAATATCTTGTGCGTATTCATGAGATCTTGAGGGGTGTGTAGCAGACATGATGGACTTGATTTTTACTCGTATACAAATAACTAATTTCGTTTCATTTCATTTTTCATTTTTCGTCAACATCTACATATATATATCTATATATATATGCATCTAATAATAAGGAGATTGAGAGGAATGAAAGAAAGGGAGTTTCTAGACGCTTGTTGTACTGTCGATTTCGATCGTCGGGACGACAGATGAGATGAATTTCAAAAACACCAACAGATATCTGCCACATGAAAAAGATTGGTTGAAGGATAAAAAGCGCAAGATTGGAAAAAAAAAGAAGTTAAGTTAAGAAGGTTTGTCAAAAAAGAGAAAGGTGAAAAGAATGTTGAGAGACTTAACTGATCTACTCTCAAGCCTTCGATTTCGGGTTCCTGAGATTCCGGGCCGAGAGCGCTAGTAGTACTAGTGGGACTAGTAGTGGGGGTGGCGGCCTTCTTATCCTTTGAGCTGCCGCCGCCGATGCTAGCACCGCCGGTCGCCTTCTTGACCACGCCGCCGATCCAGCCTTTCTTCTTGCTGACCGAGCCAGAGTTGCCGGACCCACTGCTGGCAGAATGTTTCTGTTGGGCTTCCTTGAAGCTTCCATCCATCCGTTCGATCATCTTCTTCATCACACTCGAATGTTTGCATGGATGGACGGAGGCTAGATTCAGTCCGTTCAGATGCGGGAAGGGCTCGATGGTCACCGTCTTTTGCGCATAGTCTGATGAGATGTCTGCAAACGTTTGGGAGGGCGTCAGGGGTCTTTTGTGCTCATCATAGCCCATTAACCACATTCTGGGGGTTTGATAGTACCTGGATAAACACAATCCAGATGGTGATTTTTTTGTTGTTGTTAGATCACTTGGTTCATGTGATGGTTTTTTTTTGCGCAGATGAATATTTTAAGGTCGACAAGTAAATAGACTCACTTGTCATAGGTGATCAGACAGTCATAAGTACGAACGCTAACGAGGTTACTGGGGTTGTTCTGGCCAAGTTCGGCCTGCTGGTTGGCGGCAGCCTGAGCGCTTGCTGTTGCGTCATCCTCAGCTTCAACCACTCCACCGGCATCGCCCAAGTCGTCATCCATATCGGGAATGTCATCCATGTTGGGGATGGCTTCATCTGCGTTATTCGACGCATCCGGATTACGACCGGCCCCGTTATCGGCTGACAAGGAGAGGGAGTTGACGTTTTGGTCTAGATCGGGGATATCGCCAATATCGTGCGCAGCAGATTGGTTGGCTATTGATCATCTCGCCAATCGGACATTCGTGGGTGAGTTTTTGTTTTTTTAATTGAAGTGGGAGAGGGACGATGGTTTAGCCTACGAGTGATCACAGAAGGGTAAGGAAGGGTAAGGATTCGGCGACTTACGTCGAGTGGTATGTGTGACAGCCCATTCCTCATCATCTGCCCCGACAGCACCCTCGGCAGCAAAGCTCATCATGGTTTCTGCATCTTCATCTTTGTCGGTGTAGACCATTTGGGAGGCCCTACGCAAGCAAGCAACTAAAAGTAGATGTGCAAAAATAGGTTATTAGACGAAGGGAGTGATTGTTTTCTTTCTTGCTGTAAGTTCAAGTACACACCATTTCGAGAGATCAGGTACTGTTTATTCTCGGGTAAGAAGTCTCTTCGTTTGGTTCCATCGCCAGCTTCCCAAGACCAAGTCGGGAACTTGTAACACAAAAAATCGCCCGCGGCAACGAATTCCTCTATAAACAAATCGAAGGTATGTCAAGGAATGATTTCAGTCAGAGCTATGTTCACATGCAGTCAAGGTAGAGAGTACTGCTAACCTGGGGTGATTCGACCATGTTCTTTGAATTTGGATTCCCTCAAGACCGGTGCGAGATAGTCCCTGACAGCCCAGAAGTGAGTTTGAGTGAACTGTTGGAATGACTGCATTGTTTGTTTTGTTTATGTTTTGTGTTTCTCTTGAGTTCTTCTTCTTCTTCTTCTTCTTCTTCTTTGTCGTAATATCAGAGTGTTTGTTGTCTTTTCCTCTTCGGCTTCTCCTTGGAAAGGGCTGTCATCGGATTGGGGCCCCCGCTAGAAGGCTACTTGCTCGATGCTTGTACTGTGGCAGGGGCTGGCTTATGTCATCATATCTGTAGTCTCATCCTCACTTTTTCACAGCAAAAACACACCAGCAACACAGACCAACCAAAAACTGACGATGGCTTCCTCAAACCCGCCTGCAGCTGCAAACCACATCCCTCTCTGCGAACCCAGCCCAGTGGACAACATCAACCCACGTCTACCAAGAGGTAAATAAAAATGACTAAGGATCGAGAATCGGATCACTTGAAAAGAAACAGAACTGATTCAAAGATTTCGATGATGTGCTCAATTAATCAGTTGGCGATCACTTTGACAGCTGGGACGACTTTCGAACGTGGTCTCGAAAGGCAGCCGAAGCACGAGGCTTTACGCTCAGCCAGTCTCAATCTAAAGGCAGCTCAGGGACGATCGTACTCCGATGTAGTCGATTCAAAGAACCCGGGACGGTCGGCCAAAAGATGGCCGAAAACGGCTGTAAGGTCGTCTACAAAGTCATGAGGGCTAGGTTCGGTGTCGAAGGCTTCGAGGTCGTATACGCCTTTGATGAGCACAACGTGAGCTATCTCTTTCATCCTCTGTTACCACAACTTCTGAGAGCTGATCTCTGGCTTTCTTCTATCTGTCAAACACAAGCATCCCTTCGGACCCGACCTCCCCGTCGGTCACCGTCCCGGTACCAGTCTATCAGGCCAGCCGCCCAAGAGGAAGAAGGTCAAGACGAGCGCATCTGGGGGGACCAGCGACGTTGGGATAGCTGGTTCGAGTCAATCCCACAACGTCTCCAACGGGGCTACCCCTCCCGCCTCGAGCTCAAAACCATTCCTATTCGACCCTTACACCGGCAAGCCGATCCGATCATCCGCCACTCCCATCCCAACCGCCAGTACTCCCAGTCCACCCACCCATCTCGATCCCATCCATCATCAACCAATCCCCCCTCCAGCCGCCCAGTCTCTCCCACGCGCCCCAAGCAGTCTCAGTGGCACTCCACGCAGTCACTCCTCACGTGGTGGCTCGCGCACAACAAACTATCCACATCCCATCTCTCAGCAGGTAGACAGTTATCCGGCTGCAATCCCACTCAATCCTCCATCGACGACGGGCATGGGAATGATGACCCCTAACAGTAACCAATCTCAACTGAAACACTACCCACCACTAAGCATCAGACTCTCCGTCAAAGCCCAAAACTCGATCACCGAATTCCTCAGCAGTCTCTCACCTGCCCTGACCCCCTATGGCACTCATTTCAAGTGGCTCGGCGTCCAATCTCCCGTCGATCTCTTGGGCTTGATCGATTCTGGTGGCGAGGAGGAACTCGAGGTGTTCTTGGACGAGATTGATACTTGTGGGATCGGTGCTAGGGGTGAAGGGGTCAGTCAGGACGAAAAATCTTTAATCATTAGGGGCTTGAGGAAACTCAGTGGAATCAAAAGTAAATCTTAATGGATGTAATTTTGCTTTTCATCTTTTTTATTCTCTCTTATGAAGGCCAAGAAAGAAAACGTGAGTTTGTTAAACCCCACAAAAGAGCTGATATGCGGTAGTCTGGCTTTTGCCGTTATGACCCTCAATTTTTTTTCTTGAAATAATTAGTTATACAATGTATGTTCAGAGTGGTTTTGTAGGAAAACAGATGTAATGTAATAGTCTGGTTAATGCTAGTCACTTGAATACCAATTTTATGGCATACATATTATACATGTCATGAAATTTGAACTCGTTCAGATTGGTCAGAGACAATTGATATGTAAATACACCACCGGGCGTGGTGGATGGCATTTGGACACCCAATCGGATGTACCAGATGCCATCCGACCTTGGCCCTGCAAGGAGCATCCATTGGATGCGACTTGCATATTGCTGAACCCGGATGGTAGGGCCAAACCATCCATCGGATGGTAGGGCCAAACCATCCATCGGATGGTAGGATTAGAAGCCCTTGGGGGCAAAAATGCCAGGCCTGGGTTTGAACCATGACCTCCAGGTGCTGCCACCAGTAACTCCACAGAGGCAGTACCTTCCCACTCGACTATACTAGATTCTTGACACCACGGACAATTGCATGTCGCTCCCGCGCGGAGCGACATCTGGGGGTTTCATTGGGGGTTTCGTGCGCAGTCACTGCGCCTACTGCCGCAGTCACGCACGCGGATTCGTCAAGGTGACGGTTACATCCGCGGCGACACGCAAATGACCGTGGTGTGATATTCCACTGGTCAAAGAGTGAGCTACATACCCCGCGCTGCATTTTTGGATCGTTTTTCGACCATCGACCACCTTTTGAATAATTTTTCGACAATCGACCCTTTTTTTTCCACTGCCGGACCCGGGTGAAAACCATCAATCGGACACTCTGAGAAGTGTCCGATTGATGGTTTTCTTGTTGTCCATCGGACACTCCCAATCAAGTGTCCGATGGACACCGGGCTGTACACCATCCTCTGGATGGTCTCGCCTGCCAAGCATCCCTTGGACGCTTTCTGAAGCGTCCAAATGATGCCAGGCCCGCCCGAGCGTCCGTTGGATGCTTCGCAACCAAGTTGCGGGCGCTCGGGACGGAATCCATCCGTTTGCTGGGGGGTTTTTCTAAAAACCCGCCCCATGGTGTATGTAGCATTCAAGCCGTCTACCTGAAATGATAAAAATACGGAACAGGTTGGCTTTCATCTGTGAGAGTTTCTTGGTTCCCTCATCTTCGTGAGACGACGGTAACGTCCATTGGTTCAGGTGTGCTTGATACCACGCAAATGATCCAGGGTAATGAAACCCTCACTGAGATAAAATGGGTCATTCCCAGAGTAGTCAAGTCAATAAAAATTTGATTCCCATCATCGCTTGGGTGCCCAGTGCTCAACAGTTGCAAAAGAGGATTCAAGAGTTGAAAGAATGACAGGCAAAAAAAAAGAATATTAAAATGACAATGAAATCTATCCAGAAAGATAACGGTCAAATGGCTACACCAAGTGATCTTCATTTGAAATCCATAACAATCACATTTGGGACAAGTGTGTCTTAATGTGCCGTCACCATGCTTCCGTCGTAAGGTGCAGCAGATGAATATCATACTGCGTATACTCAAAATAGGGCACGCTCTGAACGAACATCATCCAGCGTCGATGATGTAGTAATGCGATAGATAACCGGGACAAAAAATAACCATAACAACTCAAATCGACGGGTGATAAGCTTATATTCAATCGGAGGAATCAAAACAAGCAAAAAACGACTTCGGGGTGTTGGCAAGATGGTTTTTTATATATTTATCTGGAATGGTAGGTATCAATGCTTGGTTGATCGGGTCCTTTTGGTCCGACTTCCATTTTGTTTCATCAACATCACCACCGGCCTCCGGCACCAGGTTACCAGCTTGACTCTTCGACACCCTTCATTTTTTTCATTTTTTTTTTCTTGTTGACCATTCGGAAGTATTTTGCATCTTGTGGTAGCTGTCTTTGGCTGGAAAAACTGTTTGCTATATAAACACTCACTAGCCCTAGTTTTGTAGGAAATATTTCCTGATTTTCATCCGGATTCCCATTGAATTAATATCTTCAATAGCTTTCAAAAAAAAACTCATTTCGAAATAATAACGACACTTTAATGGGCGGAAAAATGTATGAACATAATGGACTTGGACGGATGCAGCTGGCTGCGATTTCAACGCGACTTATCTTAATTTTCTTGCTAATCTTAAACGTCGAGGGCATCCAACAATCAGGATGTGCCAACTTCTTCCAGTTGGCGCCTTTGCCGCTCTGTGACGGGACACCTCAAATTCCAGGAGTGGGCTCAGGGGGGATCAGCTCAGGTGCACCTCCGCCGGAGCCAAAGCTCAAGGCTCCATCAAATGATCGGCCTCTTCCGCCTGCCCTCAAGGCTCCCGGACCAATCGTCAAAGACGCTAAGGGAACAACGCCTTTGTTCAGTCGGTGGAGACATAGGAGGGATGCTAATGTGAGAACAAGGAAGAAAAAAAAAGCTCCGATCATGCAATCTTCACACCTAAATCTTCCTCCGGAAAGCTGAAACATCATTCTTGGTGATCCAGTTTTTTGCAGTCAAAAAGGGAGACGACTTGACCTTCAAAACTACCGAAGCCGTAAGTTTATTACCCCAAACATTTTAACAGATTCATGATCCTGATTGACAAGTCAATCAACAAACCGAAACTTTCGATGTGCTCCACCAGAGTCAAGCAGTGGCCGGAGGAGACGGTGTAAGCAGGACCTTCCTAATAATCATGCCAACTTTGTTTTTTATATCGAGATGTCAAGTTTGATGAATTTTGTTGGGACAATGGCATCTGAATAGGCCTGTGGAAAATATGATACGGACACCGTGTTGGGAGTTTGTCTGTGGTCGGGGATCGATGAATCTGGAAAGGATCCTAATAAGAGTGGCTGGATTAGCGGGTACATGCAACCTTCAAGTCTTCCTTATAATTATACTGATTGATCACCAGGTTTCTTGTTTGGTCTGCAAGAGCATCTGATCAACAACTGACTAAAATTTTACATATTTACTTCCACATAGTTCGGCAACCACCAATTGCAATCGGGAAGTGTAAGAAGGCTCCATCATTTGATCTCAAGTTGGAGTTGCGCTCATAAAACATCTTGCTTGCCCTTTGGTCGATTCTATCCACATGGAATAAATTGAGACACTTAGTGAAATTTGGAAATCATCAACTCCAGATAAGAAGATTACTGCCAAAGTAATCGATGGATGTGGTCTCAATGCCAAATCATTCAAAGTAGGATGTGAAAACCTGTTCCTAACCAAAAAGGTATCTCCAATCTCTGACAGCTAGGTTGAGGGTTTGTACTTACAGCTTCAATTTGGTCTTGCAATTTCTTCTCATCTAGCTTCTCTCAACTCTAGATCCTCAGGCTGAAGGTGAAATCTCAGATTTAAAGTGGAACTTGTAGGTCTTACTTCCTCCTCCCCTTGAAGAAAGCCAAAAAAAAAAGAATTGAATCTAAAAGATAGGAGTTAATATTTTTCTTTCAATCTACTTGAATGATCCATGGTTCAGCAAAAAATTAAAAACGATCTTTTGAATGAAATCCGAATCTGCAGGATTTAGAACGGTTGATGATCAAAGAGAAAGCCCTTAAGATGACCAGTGCTTCGTTTAAATAATGGAGACATATGAGTTCAACAAGGAGCAGTGCTTCCAAGAGCACTCAACTTTTCAAACTAGATGAGCAATGTCTACTGGAATGGACACACCATTAGAAAACCTTCTTGCTACTAGATCAAGTACTTTGTACATAAATATGTAGAATTTATGAGATAGAGCTTATCAGGAATCTTTGGGATCTGAAGGAGACTTAGATCTTATTAGCAAGGTGTATTTATAAATAAATGCTACATACATACATCTTTCCTTTTTGTTCTTCTTCCTCTTTTCAAGTGATCACCTTTTTAGATGAGTTTGCATTGATTGATTCAATTTAAGAAAAAAAATTCCTTGAGGGATGATGAGCTTTGTCAGGAATATTGTGTTTGGGGATGAGATGTTCATAGCATCCAGGGCTTTCCCACAACTTGCACCACAAGAGGGATTGAGGGATTTCTCAATGTTCCATTTAGCACTTCAATCTATCCTAAAGTACTCTTGTCAGGGATACTCCACAGCCTATCCCCTAGGTTATCTGTGGATTTAAATCCTCCAGGTATCCAAGTTTGGGTGATTAATAAGAATAAAAACCTATCATTTTTGAAACGGTTTTTCCAAATAATGGTTTAAATCTTATGGACCATAGGAAGATACTTGCTTTGTTTTTTATTATGACATAATTAGATAATTTGTTTTTATTTTTAATTTGCCTCAATAGGACATAGGTTTGGAGCAAAAAAGGCCACAAACCTACAAACAAATGGAAATTGTAGGGTGGGTGGAAGGTTTAGAAAATTTTCTGTTGAATTTAGAAAGTGGATAGAGATTAAAATTTGAGTCTGATAAGTTGAGTGAAAGAGGAGGTGAGTGTGAGCCTGGGTCTCAAAAGTGACACCAGGACACAAGGATTGGGGGGGGGGGCAACTCTAGATGTATTTTAAGGGGATAAAGAAATACAACTAGAATAAGAGAAAAAGAGAGAGAGAAAGGAAAATAGAAAAAGAAATGAATAATATTTTTTATTGTTTATTTATTTTATAATCAAGGTTTGATGCAGTCTTACTTTCCTGTGGAAGGATGGCTGTTCTATAGCGGAATAAATCTATGCCTCCTAACTCAACTGAAACTGAGAAGGGTTCCTGATATTGATAAATCAATCCGGCCACTATTTTTTAGATCTAAGATCAAGGGTCTTTAAAGGGAAACCTATGTGGTTTTTAGTTATACCACCAAACAGAGAATGAAGATGAATTGATATGATAATGTGAAGTTTGAGGCAGAGGTTTAGTAGAAACAGAATGAAGAGTTCATTCAGAGAGACAGAGAAAGAACTTAGCAGAAAGATGCAAGCTGAACTTGAAGGAATGACTTAATATTTGGTGATCCTGACACTGAGGGTGGGAAGATTCCAAAGAGTAAAGGACTCCAAACAACAACACGGCGATGATACGGCGGTGAATCCAAGTTGAGGTATGCTGGTTTTCTGGTCTGAGTTGGTTCTGAGTGGGTCTGAAGCTTGAAGATCCTGAAAATGCAAACTCAGTGTCTACTGAGAAATTTTCAGAGTTGGATTACATAATCACAACATGTACATGTGGTAGAGAGTTGGAATTCCAACTTGGTTGATATTTCACAATGGTTAGGTGAAATATTACAAAGTCTGTGAAGGAGAAGAGTAGTGTAAAAGTGTGTAGGGGTGACTAAGGTTAAAATTAACAGAGGAATTCATTTCTGAAGTCAGAATGCAATAAAAGATTAAGATGAAAACGTTACAGTAGGTAATTGATTGAAAAAGGAGGACTTAAGCAGTCATTTGGCCAGCTTGGCTGGCTCTAAGGCTGACAGTGAGGATGAAACCCGTGATGGGGATTTAGAGGCTGAGTTTTAGTCTCTAAACTTCCCGAGTTGTGTTTCATGTTTTTCATATTCTTGGACTGGTCGAGAATATTCTGAACTCAACTGTATCAGACTTGTCCGTGCACATGGACAACAGCACCTTCTCCTTCTTTTAGGTCAGTTGCTACATATCCCTGTCTGATTGCTGAAACCACATGTCCCACAAACACACAGGACATTCAAGGGGTTTCAGGATCCTAAATGTGTTTCAGGAACCACTGCTTGACAGTATCAGGAACCACTTTTTTTACCCAACGTCATAGCAGTTTTTAGGGGTGAATGTCCTTGGGAAGGGAAAGTCCTCTCAACAAACTGGAGTGTAAAGCATCAAGAGGAAATCCTTGCATGATGCCAATGTTCAATTGGAAATGTTAATCTGAGGAGAGTATGATAAAATAGAGTGTTGAAAAACAATTAATCAACCTTTTGAATGATGCTTATGACACACATAGAAACACAAGGGGTTCCTCAGACCCTTGTGGAGAGTTGAGGATTTATGTCCCAGTAGCTACAAATATGGTCTGTGTGCAACAAATTTTTTACCAGGCGGGGAGACTCAGTTGACATAAGCTCCTCATGACAATCTGATCTGGTTGATAAGAATACAACCAAAAAAGCTCCTTCAACAAGTTGTATATCAACTGTAAATATTTCTTGATTATCTTTACTTTGATATGACAGATTCTAGCTTACCATTTTATTTTTAAAAGGGAACCACTGGTTGCTGTCTTCAGTATGCACATTGTGTGGATCATTCATTTTTTTGGGTTTGAAATCATCTGATTCTGTACCATCACCGCCAAGTGCTGCATCAGTGTCCATCTGTTCAAATACCCCATGGGACAAATCTGAAATTCCATGGACACCATTCTGGACAGCATCTGAGCTTCCCTGCACTTGCAGGGCAAAGAGTGTCCATTGGACACTACTCTTCCTGACAATTCTTGGATGTTTTCTGGAAAACTGTCCAGTGGACAGTTTTCTATCCTCCACTGGACAATATTTTTGGGTTGCTGCAGTGAAGAGACCCAGATTTGTGTTGAGGTTTCTGATAGCCTGCTACTATGATGCATTACTACATGTTGAACCATGAGCACTACCACAAGCATCTGTAGCCTACACAGCCCGCAAACAGGTTACAAAACCTGAATTTCATCACACTAACATTTTTGTGGAAACTCACCCACAGTGACTGCGGCTACTGGCACAGTCACGCTTGGAAAAATGTCACCACAACAAAATATTGATTTTGTCACCTGTTTGCGGGCTGTGCTAGTTGGTAAAGGCAGCACTCTATTATGTGTCTCAGCATCCCTGAGGTTGTGAGTTTGACTCTCACCAGATATATATTCATTTTGTCTGTCTCTACAATTTGAACTGGAGACCTCTTGTACCATGCCATCACACACCCACAAGGCTGGTCCTTGCGGACTGCACTTTGCAGAATCATTCTTCTAGGTGGACCTGAAGTGTTTGCTAAAGACCAAATTTGTTCTTCTGAGTAAGTTTTTGACATTTGACTGCACTTTAAGAGGTGTTTTAAACAATCAACTGCACTTTTGGAGCTTTTTTCAACAATAGACTGCACTTTTGGAGCTTTTTTCAACAATAGACTGCACTTTCAGAGCCTTTTTCAACTTTTGACTGCACTTTTGGAGCTTTTTGAAATCATCAACCACCAGCTCCAATCAGGAATTTTAACTCCAAGTTTCCAATGGACACACTAAAAATAATCATCCATTCCACACTCCCCACTATAGAGTGTCTAATGGACAATGAATCTAGCATCCATTGGATGCTTATCTTGGGCAAGCATCACTTGGATGCTTTTGGAAGCATCCAAGTGATGCTCGCTTGCCAGAGTGTGCCTCAGACGCTATGATCACCTCCTATGGACACTTTACAGACAGGGCCAGTTTCAAAAAACTATCCCCTTAGTGTAGCCAAGTCATCCAGTTTCAGCCAGCACTCTCCTTGCTGCCACCTTGGTTGGTATTATCAGGCTGATCAAATACAACCTCATGAGTCATTCCAGCAATCATACGTAACACATCTTGGAGAAGATTAAGCCCCCCCTGAAAGAAGTCAAGGATTTGCCACCAACAAAGGACAAACCTGCACCAAAGCACAATTTGTCCCAGAAGAATGGAGAGCCTGCCCCCAAGAAGAAGATCCAACCAATCAAATCAGTCAACCTCCAACCACAACCACCTCAAGAGGAGAACAGCCGGATTGATCAACTCCCAGAAATCATCAAAATCTTGTTCAACAGAATGGTAACTTGTAAGCCCTGCATCCGGTGGATATAACTGTGGATTCCATGTGATTTCTTGGTGTTTGGGTCGTGGTGTGGTAAGCCAATCCTGAATTTCAGAGCACAAAAAGACTACAAATCACACAGGAATCACAGACTCAAGACCCCTCAGGAATTCCCCAGGCCCTCAAACAAATCCAACACACCAGTCATCCACACAATTTTCCCCCTCATGGATAATAACATCTTCCACACCTCTGAAACTCCTCAAATGAAACCCATGGCCAAATTCTTA